GAGTGTGTTTAGAAATGAATAAATCATTTATCTGACTTTGCTTTTGCATCATATCTTCTTAACAGTATTCATAATCATACTGTAGTTTGGGACTGCAGGTAGGCACACCTCCCTGTAAGGGAAAGGAGAAAGGCTTTATTTTACATGTTCCTGACAATTAAATTCTGATTCATATTTACCCAGTTGAAGGGTAGAAGGAGCTAATGAGGGATTGTAAAACAAAATTATCCCTTCTCTCCCCAGCACCCTACTATCAACAATATAAGAACAACCACACAGGTAAGAGAGAGAGGAGTTGAGCCCTTTTGTTCCCTTTTCCTACTGCGAGGAAAAGGTATTGTGTATGACTGCTCTGAAACTACCTTCTTCCAGAAACACTTAGGAGACCTTACATTTGAGGCAACTATGTATGCAAAGATTAAAAAATATGGAAACATTTCTAATCCATTGTTACTTAAGCATGTTATTACTTCCATTGCCTTAATGGATACTTAGTTCAAGTTCATAGTAATCTTAAGAAAGTAAAGGTCTGACAACAGATATCAAAAACGTAGAGCAACATGTGCACACGTTATTACAAGTTCTACCGCAGGTAATTCTAAAAGCAAGAATGCTTGAAATGTCTCTTGCTTTAGATCTTCTTTGATGTCTAGATGTTGCAAAGAGAACATCACAGGCAACATTTAGGTAATGAGTTACTTTGATCACCTCTGAAGTGAAGGGGTAGCAGGTTGTGTCACCTGGTAAGATATCAGCAGATATAGGCACAGGCAATTGGCACATCATATAGGTAAGAACGATGAAGGGGACTATTTCCACTCCCACAGGGTTACATACCTGTAGTTTCTAATGTCCAATAGTTTCTGCACAACACTGCACGTACTCTTGGAGGAACAAAATAAGCAAGCACATTTTTAAGAAAAAAATATTGAACACACAACATAAATTTTGTGGTAAATGGATGGAAAATGTCATCAAGTTTGACAAGGTATTTGAATAGCTATATCTTTTAGTACCATTATCAGTCCTTACCAGTGCTGTAATTGAAAATTACACATCTGCCTGATATTTTGAAAAAGTAATTGCAAAAGATACAACTTTCACTGGTATTCAAATCATTCTTCTCAATTTGCATGGCTCTAGAGAGCTCAGTGAGTAGAGCTACAAGATCAGGAGCTCTCTAAACCTACGACTCGTACAGCTCTGGACCTCTATGAGAGTTATGATTCTGTCTTAAAGAGCCCAAAGCTTAGTAAAAATGAAATGCACATTTTTGCACATTTCAGGTATCCCCAGGGATCTTTATGAACAGAAAATGGTCAAACAATAGCAGAAATACCTGTCAGAAGAAATTATTGCAGCAAGAAAAAAACAAAAGCCTAATGAAAAAATGAGAAAGTTGGCAAAGTAGTAATCAAATCTGAAGATTAAGTTATGGTTAAGTACACATGTGGGTTTCAAATGTCTCCTTTCGGCCATATTTAATTTTGATCCCTTTAGCAGCTGTCAGACTAATGTCCTCCACTCAAAAACAGGCAGGGGCATATATGATCTTTGCAGACAGCATGGGGACAACAGACTTCTGTCTTGATGTGAACAACTACTGTGCATTTCTAAGACTGGTAGAAAAGAAATAGATCTTTTTCCATATAGCTTTAAACTATGCAAACACTGACTAAACAGAGAGAAAATGTTCTGTCAAGGTAATTCAGTAAAATGCATAATGCAAAGGGTATTTCTAAGTAAGGGTTGGGAGGGGAGAGATGTGATTGCTTGTCCTTATCCATTGTAGGTACAAAAGTCAATGGATGGTCATCCTGACATCTTTATTCTGTAGACATACTTAATGTCTGTGCTACATCTGCTCCGTTGATCTCAAATGGCATGCCTGAAAACTGAAGGCTGTGGAGTCCTTGTGGAGATCCAGATACAATCTTGGCAGTTTCCTGACCATATGTCATGAATAGACCAGAGCAGAAACCAGCATTTCTAGCTCAGTTGGTATAGATCCCAACAAAAAGCATTGCTACACCTGTGACTCTCTCCGTACAGTTTTCAGTGTCAGTATAATTACTTTGTACTGCCATAATGGATGCACCCTTGGTATTGTAAGACCTGGAGCCATGACACCATTTAAATATGCAACCACTGAATCATCCAGTATGCTTAGCTTTTTTTTTTTTAATATACTTTTTTCTTCACTCCTCCTAGATTTGTATGTCCCAAGATGTCTTAATGATGCGCTTTACAGAAACACTTTATCTTCCACAGTCACTTACAGAACTGAATACTCGTTATCAAGTGTTTCACTGGAGTTTTTCTATCTCCCTTGGTGACTGTATAGCCTTCTTCCTCCCAGACCCACCCCAATTCTTTACATTAATCTATCTTCCAGTTACAGTTTTAATTAGATGCTCTTAAGGCTGTCTTAGTCTTGCATGGCACAATTGCAAATACCACATAAAGAATTTTTAGTTGTCCTAAAATTTGACATGACCAGTAATCTGCATGTCAAAGACAAGAGACCAACCTATTTATCGCTTTGGAACATCACTTATGTCCTGTGAAATACAGATAAAATGCCAATGATATCACACATATTGGAAGTGCGTTATCATCTACCTTGAATGCACAGGCATCCTTCTTTCTTTTGAGAATGCTCCTGCCCAGCATATAAATTTGTATTCCTTTTTTTAAATTATTATTCAACTTTTTAAAGAAGCTAACAGATAAGAACATTTCTCAAAGTTGTTAACTAGATATACTTTCCCCATGACATAATAATTTACTTTTCTGTAGTTTAAATATATTTCTCCTCAATGCTTCCTCCACTCTATAGTTTCATTCCTTTCACTGGGCAGCCACACACACACAGCTGCTTCAGTATACAGCACCAGTGAAGGGACAAAGGGCATTTTTGAAGAAGGCAGGGACTTTCCATATTTAGAGCCAATAGGGAAAAATATTTTTTGTTGCCAGCAAACCTGGTATAGAAAAGCACCCCTCTACCCACCCCCCCCTCCCCCCTTCTCTCAGCAGATGTTTCCATGCTTCTACCTAATCTTTCTTTGCTCTACCTTATACAGCAAAAATTTTTTGAAGGGAGGGCAGGAATACTGCATTACAACTTTTAGGTGTGTGTTAATTTCTTTGATTTCCAGTGGTAGAATGGTCAGGTTTTTACTGCTTGTACTGGTAGTTTTGAGTGCCTGTATTAAGTAAGAAATATCAAATAATAAATACGAAAATAAAGAATATTTTAATATGTGTTCAATACTATATGAGGAATTTGTAAAAAATAAAGATGTAGATTTTTATGTGAATATAAGAAAGAATAAAGACTATATAGCAACTGTGAAAAAGAACAGGAAGATAAAGAATAAGAAATAATAAAAATACAATATTGCAATTTAGCAAACCTACACTCTCCAGACACCCTGCACCAGCTGCACATCAAGTAGCTTACAGGTGTTCACTCTAATGATGGTAACCTAAGAACACATGTTTTCTTCAGGCCTTTATGTTTTTAGAATATTAACCTCTAGTGTGATGCCTTTAAGTAGATCAGTCTCAATTCACTCACATGCATTTTCAGTGTTGGATTCACTTAGCGGGAATAGCTCAGCAATCAAAATATCATATCTATTTCAGCCAATGTGAATGTTTGCCATGGGCAACTCATCTTTTAGCAGACACCAGCTGAAGAGAAAGATTTTAATAATACAGCTACTAGATGAAACAGAACTACATTCCAAAAACACACTGGGCAAGTACAATATGGCTAGAACAGGTGTTAGCTTAATTTTCCTCATCTGTATCTGCTAGCAAGTCTGGTTACCTTTGCACACTCATTTGATGTGGTCATTCAGGGAAATCAGTGCAGATGGTGTGTCACTCTGTATGCATCTGCCAAACATTTTTTTACAACTTAAAGCTGCTGTCTCCAGCCAGTATGAAAGCTCAGCGTAGATTACAACTAGAGTTTAATTTAAGAGTGTTTGTGAGCATATCTTTGACACATTAAGAAAAAAAGTGGATAAAACATGGCTTAATCCAGAAGCAACGTACAAAAAATGAAAAGGTGTGGAGTCTAATGGGTGTGTCCTCAAATAGATGTATCCTTTGGTATCTTACACATATATGTTTGTATATTTTTTTATCCCATTCCCAGTCAATATATATTGTTTTCTAACAGATCTAGACCATTATTTTATGCTGAAATTTTTGGCCAATATTCTTAAAATGCAATGAACTGGTATTGTTCTATTACTGAAAATATAAAAAAATATTACTAACACAATAAGTATGATTTGTGCTAAAAACTCCATATAACATGGGAAACTTAATAAAAGCAGGGAAAAAAACACATGAAAAGTGCAACAGATAAGTAGAGGATTTTTTATTTCCATTTCATTTGGAACTTTGATTTCCTGTATTTTATACTTTGCAAAATATCAGATACTATTTTAATGAATGACTGGCAGTCTGATAATTTTCCATTTAAATTTTGTAGTGACTAGGAAAGCATTTGTATTTTTGTTTTGTTTTTTTTACATTCTGTTACTCCAAGTGTTTTCAATATATGCTGATATAAATACATTGCAAGAGTAATGGGGACAAAACAATTCCCACTGAAGTAATGGAAGACTGACAGAACTTGTAAGAAAATTATGGTTATTTTCCCACTGAAATTGTTGTTGAAACATGTTTTGCTAAGGTGGTTTTTTTCTTAGGGTTTTTCTTTTTTTTTTTGTTCCAGCTGTCTCAAAAGTAATCATTTTTCATTAAGCTATATTTTAACTATTTTTAGGCATTTCTACTTCCTCTGTCTTCAGCTAACGCCGAACCATGCTTTTATGACGCATTATATGCATTGATTTAGTTTTAGTATGGTGATGAGATTTTTTTCTGACTGTTCAACAATATTTTATCTTTGATGTTAATGAAACCTATTAATGAAACTAAACTGGCATACTTAACAGTCAATAAAGAACACTCACCTACTGTCAGTTGTCCAGTTAACTGTCCCATGTGATTTCTTGCATTCATTGTTACATTTCTGTCAGACTGTAAGACCAGTGGGCTATCCTGGGAAACATGTATAAGAAAATAAATGAGAGAACAAAAAATTGAGGTAGAATTAAGTTAGAACTAAATATAAACATATAAATATAAACATGCATGCTGAGAGTGGAGTTGTGTCAAACATAATAACCTCTTTAATAATTTCATAAAGTATTTTACAAGTAAAATTTTTATGTAAAAGAATAAAAATAATACTATTTTAAGCTTAAAATATTTGTGCATAGAATACCTGCTTTAGAAACCAGAGTTGAACTTAATTTGTATAAATTGGGCTTTATTTCCTGAGGGTATTACAAAGTTACAAGTTCAAAAAAGCCTTAACATTTGTTAGCTTTTTCCTTGTATGGTTAATATATACTTTTCTAACTACTTAAGCAACATTACACTACATTATTCTATTAATCTGTACAACCTATCGTATTTACTTACTAAAACTTACAAACACAGCCATGCGTTTCTTTGAATGCAAACGGTATCGTTATTCTCCAAATGGAAAGAAAGGGGTCATTGTGAGGTCATATAACAGACAACCATGACCCACTGCCAATAGAACCTGACGTACTATTAGTGATGAAGCTGGTGTAGCATGAAGACTGAAGACAAACACTGTAGGATGTAAAGTACAGTCTTAACATTTTTGGAGTAATTTTACAGCACAACTATGTTCCTGTCAGCATCCTACTAGGTTTAAGCTTTTAAGGAATGCTTCAAAAAATATGCATAGGCATATCCTGTGTCCAAAGCAAGGTTAAGGAAGCTCAGAAGAGAAGACAGAATTGAATTTTGCTTCTTGAAGAGTGAGGAGCCAGATCCACTCCTCCAGGGGAAGGACAGATGCACAGGGAAGAGCTTCAACAGAGAACCAAAAGAAACTCAGACTAAAAAAACCAAAAAGCTTACTGACCATGCTCTTATTGGAGGGGAGTGAGTGAATGAGGGGAGGGAAAATTAGGATGGTGGCTGATGCTGCAGGCAGGCACCCTCGTCCCTGGAAACACCTGCTCCCACACTGTTTTTTCCCTGAAGCTCATAGCAAGACCACAGGTACATTAATGCTTCTGACCATTTGCTAGCACTTACCTATATTCAGGTTAATCCAACACCAGTAAGACACCTCAGAGAAACAGCTGTGGAAGTGCCTTAAGCAAGAATGACGAAGGAATAGGAAAATATTTCTGAGAGTTATTATATACTTGTTTTATTCTTAAATTCTTCCCTGGGACCCCATTATTGGTCATTCCTGAATTGAGCATATTAGCATAGATAGACTTCATGTGTGTGCGTGTGCATCTGTGATTTTACATGTGTGTGTGACTTAATATATTGATTCTTCCTGTTCTCTTTTAAGAAAAGAACTACAGGAGATAAAGAGCCATAGATAAAGATCTATTTTTACCTGAATTATTTATTTTTACTTACATTTTCTATACCTTACAACCCTTTTCTTGAATCCAGGGCTTTCCTCTGCAAGAAACACTCTTCCCAGTTGTTTTCACTGTGATTATTTACTTTAAATGATACTCAGTTCCCTGGGAAGCCTGAAATTATTCTAAGCTAATTTCTAAGAATTCAGGTGTGCTTTGTCTCTCACCGGATCATGCTATAACCTCTCTAACATCCTGCCAATTAGCTTTGCATCACATAATCTGGCAGATGAAAGTCACTGTTTGGCTTGTCCATCTTTCTAGATAAAAAGCCATAATTATCAGCGAGACACTGTGTTCAGTGTGACTGGTTTGCTCTAAACGTGATGCAATCAAGGGAGCTTCTGGCAACAAAAGCAGCTGTTAAGGACCTTTTTCTCAACACTTGATTTGATTTCCACTTTCCTTATGGTCCTTTGAAGATTATTAGTCTGGGCAACTGCTGCTCTGGGAAAGGGGGTTGTCGTGATAGACAGCTGTATGGCCAAAGTATATTTTTAAGAAGCGCTTTTCCATTTAGCTTAGTCAATATCTGGAAAAGCGTCTCTTCAGTTAGAACAATCTCACCCTTAGCAAGGGAGGGTATTGCCATGCCTATTTTTGCCTGCTCAGCTAAGGGTTTGGTAACTTACACTTCCAAATACTGTTCATAGTCTGATCTGAAGGTTTCTTTCCTTTCACCTTAGGAAAATAGTTAACAAGATTCTCAGGCTAAAATCTGCCTCCCAGGTTTCCTGTGCTCAAGCTCTAATTGTAAATAAAACCCTGAGTTTTTCATCCTCAAGCACAGGATAATGAAAAATTAGGTGAGCCTCCTCTCCTTTCCTTGTCTTATTTAAAAGATAAAAAGAGGGATGAAGAAATTAAGAATTTAAATCTTTATTCCTTAGTTCCTGAATGTCAAATATAGAGCTCCAAGATTAAATCCTGGAAAAAAGAAAACCCAGTGGTAAAACTCCCATCAATTTAAGCAGTCTACTATTTTGTCTACACTGTTTACCTGCACCTCCATCTTCCACAGGAAGTGCCTAAAGACAGAGGTTCAAAGTATTCAAATGTAGTTTATGCAGAGAAGTGAGCAACTCGGAGAAGGCTTAGCTAAAATCAGTGGAATTATGCATCTGCAAGATGAGTGTCAAGTGAGATGAGTGTCAGTCACATGACTACGAATTAAAATATATCTACAGAATATAAATGTTGGATAATTTTATTTTGATGTGAACTTCAGCTTAATAGACTTGATAATCCAAAAAAATACTTTACATGCAGGTGTCAGAAGGGAGCTTGAAATATGCCATCACACTGTTTTCCTGGAAATTGGAAATTTTAAAAAAAATCTGATTAATATATAAACACAAAGAATAGGGAAAAAATGGACGATTAAGCTCTCCAAATACTGTGGAAGTATTTGGACATAAAGAAGATTTGTTCTGAAGTCAGACAAGCCTAGGAACATGCATAGTTACTTTCCTGATATAATTTTCTAGGTTGATGTCACCTGACAGCTGATAAAGTATAAAAAAACCCAGATTGTTATATTAGTAAATAATTTTTGCATATCTACTTAATGAAAAAAGCTTTACGTTATACCTCACAAAGAAACACACATGAAAAAAGGGGCAAAGAACTATAATTTCTGTTACTGACATTATACAGCTGTATAATCTTCCACATCTTCCATTTAGAGGTGAACAAAAAGAACATATTTCCTTACATGTAGTATAGTAATATAGTCCTATAAAATGAGTTCCATGTATTTCTGTAGCTCAGTGTTACAAATATTAGGAACAGACATGCTCTATACTTAGAATAAAATCATATACATGCAGTGTAAAAGTTATTGTGAGCAGCTCCAAGGAATATCCTTGAAGAAGTTCTTCATCACCCAATATTTCTTGACACGGAGTTAATTTGAATGCATGGGAAAAAGAAACAAAAAGGCAGGTCTCTCTTACCCATCCCAAACTTTCTACCCCTGGAAAAGACCATGCCATACTTGCACGCCGAGTCCACTGAGTTCAGAAGCTGTTCTTGCTGCCTGAACCTGAGGTACAGGACACCTGAACTGGGAGTTTCCTGAGGTACAGAAAACTCAGACCACTTTCAAATTACCAGCATTATTTGGTCTTGGAGCAAAGCAGTCTCTAAAATCCAATACTACAATCTGAAATCTATATTGTGAAATCTTCCTCCATAAAAAGCACATGCAAAAAAATTTTAACTGTAGCTTTTTCCTCCCCCTTTCTGTCATGGAAATTCAGACCTTCCGCTCCTGTTTCTTCATTTTGCACAGCATACATACAACCATGGCTTCTTTCCCACTCCTTAGAATTATAACTTGAACTGTAAGAATGTGTGATGAATTAAGCATTGCAGTTAGTGTGTGAAATAAATTTGCTCTGAGATAACCTGTATTAGTTAAGCATTTACAGGAATAGTTTCACATATACTGCAAAGCCATAGAAAAATCTTTAAGTGGAACAAGTTACACTGTTCATGTGATGATTTTGTGCGTATTCATGACGCACATCAATGGCAGCTAGTTCCTTAGCAGAAAGTTGCTTTCCTTCAGCGACACTGCCCATTTACAGGTCAATGAAAAGCTTGCTTTGCCACACGTGAAAACAAACAAACAAAACCAAAACACAAAGAACTTCAGATAGTAAGATTATGGCAGCTTTATTTTTTACGGAAATTATTTCTGAACTCGGCTATCTTAACAGGGAAGATTTTTCAGCTGTGTAAAGTAAAATACTGAATCTCATGTCTTGAAAAGGTCTATTTTTTTTTTTTCAAGCTAAACCTTTTAAACAAAAACATTTGAGGCAAAAGATTTTAACTGGGGAACGCAACTTTCTGTGGTTTTCTCCAGTGCTTAATGAGTCACATGTATCAGAGTAAGAACTTTTCACTTCTAATATAATTTCTCCTGATTTAAATTCTCTCCTGAAGTACAATCCCTATATCTGATGCAAGACACATTGACACAGAAATGTCTTTGATGTTACTAACTTATTAATTTCTTAAAAAAGACAAGATATAATTTTATATGAAGTGTAGTAGGCTATCCATACACCTCATGAACAGAACACTTGAACTTTCTATTTCTGCACTGTTTCGTAAATAGGGACTTTAGAAAAGAGGGTAAACGATTTGTGATGCCATTTCAAAAATCATATTGTAGATAACACAAAGCAACATAGTAAGAACATCCTTACAGTTACATAGAGCTTTTGATAATAACAATAAGCTAATAACTAAAACACTGTAGAAGGATTCTCTCAGGGCCATGAGGGTACCACCACCCCTTACTGGCCCTGCCTAACCTCGCTGGGGCTTTCCCTAGCCCTGGGGGGCCCATTTCAGTCCAGCACCATTTGAACACCTCCTGGGAAAAATAAGCAAACGAATTTAGGGGATATTTTCAAAAAGCCTTCTTGAATCTGAATCCAGTTATAAAAATAATGGTAATTTTGGAGTAAAAAAGGTTAGTGGTGGTTTTTTGGTGGGGTTTTTTTGTTTGTTTGTTTGTTTTTAGTAAGGATCACAGTGCAGTACTAATAAATATCAACCTTAATT